TGGCAAAGGGAACGACGTAATGTGAGGTAAAAGTATTGACCTGGTAAACGGGCAATAAGGGAAAAAAAGTTTTGGAAACCATATCCACTACCTAGTGAATTTGCATGCGAGCAGATGAGCGTCATGGCGTGGGGCCAGCCCCTCCGGCCCAGAGAAAGCGCATATGAATGGGATATGGGTGTATTTTTTCCGTCCTGAGTTGGCGGCGCTATTCGTGATTCAACGAGCGTTTACGTATTTCCGGCTCTGCTGATCTTGAAGGGGAGCGCGATCCTTCCCACTGGACCGCATCGCATCATTCGTGAGGCAGGAGGGGATGTGGACGGAGAATGGGAGAAATTCGTTCCTTTATTTTGCCAGGTAGGGTGTGTGGGCGGTGGGTTACGTCCGTGCCCCCATCCATTTCCCTATGCTAACCAACCACGTCACTGTCACCTTATTGCGACTTTTTAGATAGTGACAGCAATATTTTTGTTCTAATTAAATTATTTGCATCTGTAACGAATTTTGAAATTTCCTGTTGTACTGCGTTTCGTGAGTTTACGTCACTGAGATTGATAAATCGTGACAACTTACAAAAATCAACCAATTTGAATTTCGAGAAAGAAAAATCTCGGGAAAATCTTGTATTCCAAGAATATTTTTTTTTGAATAGTAAAGACGAGATGAATCTCCTCCTTTTTCGGCTACACAGCACACAGCAGTAATAGACGCTGGGGGAGGACACCTGGATGATGGCGCTCTCCACTCCAAGGCGTGAGTGTCCACAAAAGAGAAGTTGTTCCGCTGTCACAAGTGACAAACCATCACCGACAAACTGACCCTGGCCATGAAACTACTTCTCCTCCCCCTAAGGAAGAGCTGAATCAAGAATTTTACACAATACCAACGAAATTCTTTTCTCGTGCTCAGAAAAAGTGCATTTTTGATAAAATCAAGGCACCGACGTGCCATGTCAGTCAGAAACTACCTTTTTCATAGACTACACCCCTTTATTCCGTTTGCCCGGATGCGCCTTCTTCAAAAAAATAAATGAATAAGCAACAAATCACGCTCGTGAGCCACCCCTCGCACAGTTTTTATTACGGTCCACCCCCCAACTAACGGGTCGCTGAGGTTTGGGAGTCTGTTCATTACCTGCCCAACACCTGACTCCTACTGAATCGCTTCTTCGATCCCCTCCTCCAGCCGGTGCCTGCCTAACCCTTCCTCAATCACATTGCTGCCTGTTAATAAGCGACGACGGTCTCCCCGCTCCACTGTTAGTAGGTCGAAAGAGGATTTCTTCTTGGCTACCCAGAAAAAGTCTTCAAAAAATCAAAACCACCACCTACACACAACAAATATTTTTTTAAAAATAATTGGAAAGAGGAAACAACGACATTGAAAACCAACGGTATTTTAGCTGCAGGGGTACCTTCGAAAGTAAAACTTTACGGTATGACTTCTGACTTCATAACTTAACGAAATTAATCATGGATTTTTTTCTGTAAACTTATACGAATATTTCACACGATGATTACTGTTTTTATACACATTTGAATAATGTGATTTCGCCTCGCGATGCCTGCCATAATTGGAAACTGTTATTATTTTTATGTACGGCCCCGTGTTCAGCAGCCCATGCATTATTTCGGCGGAGTCTCTCCTCTCTACTCCTCTCCAGGTCACTGGAACACGCACTCATCTTTTGCGTCCGTGAACACGTGCGCCGTGTGTGCATTGGGTTGGAGCCGGTCAAAAGGAACCAAACCGCTTCGTGCGCAAGCGTCGTCGGGGCTCGCACGTGATTATAAATTTTGTGGCGAGGAGGAGAAAGGGATAAAATGAGAAGAGGGTTAAGACAGATGAAGAAGAAGAAGAAGAAGAAGAAGAAGGAGAAGAAGAAGAAGAAGAAGAAGAAGAAGAAGAAGAAGAAGAAGAAGAAGAAGCCTAACATCCTACAACATGAAACGAGAAAATTCCGTTGCTTTTTTTCCAGGGTAGTTTTCTATTGATGAGGTGCTAGGAAAGGGGTACTGCACTGCTCGCCTCGATGAAAAGTGATAGTGCTCGGTTATGGCTAGACCAGGCCGGGCCCTTGGCCGGGCCGCAGGTGGTGTTCGCACCACAGTAATCATCGACACTGTCGACCCGCACCAGGGGCCTAACTACAACAGGGCGGCCGTTTGACAATAAAAAGAATATGTGTGTAAGGTGTTGCAAAATGGCGATAGAAGGATTTGGAGGGGGAGAGGGCCCGGCGGTTCTTTAGAAGACGGCAGTCCGAGACAGGTGAGCAATGCAATGTTGCATGCAATACTTACAGCGTTAGTGATTTAAGTACAGTGCCATAAGAAGTTTTAAGCAAATCTTTTTATTTCTTCGCTCGGCTCGATGTATGCCTAGGAGGCGTTAGTTCCCAAAACCTTTCCCCCTGAGCTTTTGTGTTGGCGCCGTCGGCGTTGTACAGACATGAGCTTCTATGGCCTCTCTTGGGAAAAATGAATGAAAAGTAAAAGCAAGCCGCAGTGCAGCGCGCCGGCCGACAGGTGAGAGGGTGCCGCAGTGAGCTCCTCAAGTGTGACGGTGGATCTGAGGAAGCTGATATTTGGGTAAGAATTGTGTGTGGCTGCATTCGAACTCCAACTAACTGCCCAGGTAATGAGATGAGTGATCACTCAGCCAGAGATTTATTAACTACTAAACGAAGACAAATTTTCGGTGGTAATTCCCTCCGAAAAGCGGCAGATGAGCCTGAGGCGAACGCCCAGGAGTTTAGCGTGCTTCTTACACACCTTATGCTCACACATTCCCCGGGCAAGAAGCGGCCGCATGCCATTATTCACAGTTGACATTAACCGCAAATGTTATTCAGCTTGCCGCCGGGGCGAAAGGCTATTTGGCCCCTTGGCATGTGCGAGTCTCGCGACAGCAGAGTCGGGTCAGTAGGGTCCAGCCCGCCACCTGATGCCTCACCCGATGCTCTTTTCACAACTCTCCCTCTCTCTCTCTCTCTCTCTCTCTCTCTCTCTCTCTCTCTCTCTCTCTCTGTCTCTCTGTCTGTCTCTCTCTCTCTCTCTAGTAGAAAAATCAGTTTCAGAAGCAACACACGAAGGTTCAAAACACAACTTACCGTCACTGTTAACAGCCGCATTTTGAAGAGGTTGGTTATCCGTGCAGTCACTGATGAGTGATTGTCACTGAATCACTCGCCGCTGATCACCACTTCTCACACGACACTCACTCACTCTCACTAACACTTTGATGTTCTTCTAATCCAACGGGTCAATGGTCACTCGCCGGTCACTCGGTCACTCCATAGCGAGTGCAGGGGGTCCGCTGGCCCCCGGTTCGAGCGGAATGAGGTGGATGAGAGACGCTGGGCGGCGCTGGGCAGCGCTGGGCGGAGAGGGCGACGTTCGTTCGGGGAGGCACGCCAGGGAACTGAAGACACCGCGCCCGCGCGCCCGCCGGCCAGCCCCGCCAGCCGCCCGCCGCCCCGGCCGGCACCGCGGGGGAGGGGCGGGGCAGGGCGGGGTAGCGCGGGGCGAGGTGGGGGTGCAGGTTGCGTTACACACACACACACACTCACACACACGCTCGATATGCCACCACTACGACCATGATTGCACCGGTTAGAGGGCGTCCGTCCAGGTGATGCTCATGGTGGTGTAGCGATCCTGGAAAGGTGTCAAAAAAGAAAAAAAAGTAGCAGGGGCACTATCGAAGCAGTTTGATTCATTATTTATGATACGCCTGGCTTGCATGTTTGATTACAGCATAGCGTTATTTTATTTCCTTTGAATTTATTAACTTGATGCAATTTCGCAAATGTTATGGAGGCTATAAATCCATCGAACGAAGATTAAAAAATAATAATATTACGTTACGTGTTGATGTTTCCATAAACGGCAATGAACCGAATGTGACTTCGAAAGATGCAAATATCTTTTCGCGGAATCACTATATTACAATGTCGACGACTGTGGCTGACTGACTGTCAGTGCGCATGAGCCACGGAGCAGCACACCACCCCTTTAAAATGTTGTGTGTGCCTGCTGTTTGCCACCATCCCTTTCTAAACCTGGTCAGGTCACCTTTACGGCTACTGCTCGCGTGTCGGACCGACCCGACCCGTCGACCCGTCGTCCCGTCCCGACCCGTCCGGGGCTGGGTCGGACCGGGCGGTGGGCCCCGCGCCGAGCCTCCCGTGGGGTAGGCGGTACCGTAAGGCCACGGGGCCCCATGCCGTAAGGCTCATCTGCCGACCTGTCTCGTCCCATCCTGTCCAGGTGAGAGTGGTCCTCGCTCCCCGTCCCGGCCGCGGCGGGCGGCGCGGCGGTGGCGGGGGGCCCCGCGGGCCGCCGGGGACCTGGCCGGACCGGCAGGGCACCGGCATGGAGAAAGGGCGGGACGACGTCGAGCAGGACGGTGTACCGGCGGAGCACGCGGCGGAGGCTGCTGCTGCCGGTCATGTGATGTCCGAGGTCGGATTTTTCGGAGTTGGTACTGCGTTTTGTTGCCCTTTTCCCCAAATCGTATTGAAGCCTGAATATCATCACGCATAATAAACATCTATTCTTTTCACTGCAATTAGAATCTGTTTCGGAGACCGCGGTTCGGCGCGCAAAGTGTGGACATGTGACATCCGAGAATATGGGGAGTGGTGGGCCGAAAGTGAGCCGAGTGAGCGCCAACTGCAGCAGCTGCAGCAGGTGCCACCTGTCGTCACTCTACTCTGCAGGCGGGGTCAAGAGGACTTGCGTCACTGCTGCCCACGCAGCTCAGGGGGAGAAATGAAGTGGAGGAACAGAAAAAGCACGTCCCGTTCTAAAAACGATTATGGCGGATGTAAAATGGTTATTACATCCCAAATGAAGTCTTCGGCGACGTGTCTCTGATTACAGGGCAAGCTTCCTCGTGTGGTGGACAAGTTGTCGACGGTGTAGGCTACGTTCGTCTCGTATCTATCTAGCCTAGCTGTTGTCTCACAGTAAAAATTTTGTTATGAGATTTCCATCGAATCGACTGGGTAATTTGCACAGAAAACTATTAGGTGCGACTCTGAAATCAAACACTTTTAAACGCAATTTTCCAAACTTTCGGAAAATTACCGAGAACGTTTGAAACGTTACTAAATTTATACAGGGCGGGTGATCCGCGCCACCTTTTCTTGATGCTTATACTGTACCGGATTCACGCGTGCGGGCGGGCTTGCCTACCGTCGCTCGCCATGGCACCTTACGGAGCCGTGCGAGTATGCAACCCGTCCGCACGTAAGAATCCAGCAGTACAGTATAAGCATTGCAAAAAAGACGGCGCGGATTACCCACCCTGTAGGGCATACAAACTGGGATTTCTACATTGGTATACCAATGAAGTATACTTCAGCTGATCAGATTGACCATCTCTCGACAAGAAGCTCTGCACCGAAGAAGTAGCGGGAAAAAAACGAGTCTTTGTAGCTATTGTTTTAGCCCTGGAGATAAAATAATTAAATATAGCTCTATAAACTCAAAAAATATATAAAGCGCCAGTGCAAAGGGCAAATTTACAGCTGGCCAGTAATTCGAGCCAATCTAGTAACCGTATTCCACATAGCTGTCCAGCTAAATTTATTGGCATGGATAATGGATATTATTTTGCCTTTCGCGTGGATGTGTGCAACAAATCCAAAATTAACTATTTTAAAGTTGCAGTGTGACCATTGTTTTTTTCGTTCACGTAACCAATTTTTTTTTTTGCAATAATATTTTACACTAAAAACAATTTTCTGACAAGGAAGAAGTGTCCGGGAAGCTAAAATCAAAGTGCCTGCTAAAGTAGAGCTCTGGACCAGCAAGTGGTGTGAAATGCGGATTGCGACCCACCCCTCCTTCGCCTCCTTGAGATTCGGGCACAGCAAGGGGACGGCCTGGCCCGGCCCGCCGCGGGGCCCACTCCCGCTGCGGCTTCCTCGTGTCGCAAGGATGGGCCGGGAGCCGGGCGTGCGCCAGAGGGGGCGCCGGGGGCACCGGGGGCATCGGGGGCGCGGCAGCCAAGTGCCCTGCCCGAGGCTCTGCCTGACCGGCTGGAGGGACTCAAACTAAGAACCCGACGACGTACTGGGTGTTTGGGTTTGCATACTCACAGGGCCATACGCGCTAAGGAAGTGGGCGAGTGGGCAAACCACCCACACGAGACCAAGTGTTCAGCTAGGTCCTTAACATTTGAAAGTGTGCAACCTATGTGCAATTCAGTTGAATACTTGTCCTCTGTGTGCGGGCGGTATTCAACGTAGAAGTGGAATATTTTCAGCTACAAGTGCACGAACTACTGCCCAGTTGGACAATTGTAAGTATTCATATTTAGCATTGCAGTTGCACACTTACAAGTGTTAAGCTTCTGAACACATGGTTTAGCAGTGCACTATGTAGCAGTAGCACATAATAGGGCCTTACGAGAAATGCCCGTTTGGCACGGCAAGGCAAGACGTCCTACATAATTATAGAATTTTAGAATTGGTGTCGTTCGGTGCAGCCAATGCACTGCACGCTTTGGGCAAGTCACTGCGCCACGCTCTGGGCGCTTTTTCGGACAAGGACGAAGGCGGGATCAGCTCAGCTGGCGGCAGGGCACGGGCCGGGCACGGCCCAGCGCGTGTCGTGTGTCACGCTATTGCACAGCGGGATGCTTGAGGCGAGTGCGAGGGAGGAGAGAGGTGAGCAAACCTGGATCAACCTATCCAAAGAAAAGAACGAAAAATTTAAAAAAATGAAATCGCGCGTCTTAATTTTAAAGTGGGAGAGTGCGAAATGTTGGTCATTCTGCCCGCCTTTTAGGCGAATGTCAGTTTGACATATTTTAAATTTTCACAGACACATACGTTAGAAGCTCGTTGTTGAGAATTTGGATGTTCTTTCAGACTTCCCCGTCTACCTCTTACAATTTACTATTTCAGCTCCGCTGTATTTCGCGTCGCGATATGGAGTAGCAAAAATGAGGAGGGAAGTTGGCGAGGCAGGGTATGGGTATGTACTGTATTCGTTTCCGAGCCACGTCCGACGTGTAAATCCCTCCCACACATTGCTCTGCTCGGGCGGGGGCGGGACGAGAGGGAGGG